TCTAACAAAGTATTGCACTTATATCAACATTTGGTGGGTTTCATTATAATTGAATTCAGTCTCCATCTGCGCTAAAATTAATACAAATAAAAGATATAGTGTCTCCTGTAACACATCCTACAAGGGCCCCCATCTTACAAATGATACAATCTTCTTTATTTGAATCCGTGTAAGCTTCACCACATACCAGACCACTCTTCTGATTCAGATTCTGAATCTGAACATAATATCTTTTTTTTAACTCCTTCCACTCCGGTTTTATTTTTTGTTGAGTTACGTTTGCCTTTCCCCTGCCTTTTCCTTTATCTATTTCTTTAATTTTGTCATATTTTTTCTGTTATTTACCTTTTCCTCATATTCCTTTTGTAAGGCTTGTTTTTCGGGAGTGTCCGTCAATACTGGTCGTCAATTCACGTCAATTCTTGGTGGCGCCTTTCGTAGAGGTCTAATCTTCGATAGCGAAAAAGTTTTTTTGTAGACTCTTTTAACATGTTACAACAAGCCCCGGGATTTTGTTACAACTAACCCCATGGTATGATTTTCAAAATTTATCAAGATAACTATTTAAACAATTTAGCGATCTTAAAAACTGTTACACATTATCAGAGATAAATAAATTTGAATGTAAATAAGATATAGAAAATTTAAAATTGGTCGATAATAATAACGTAAACCAAAATTTTACGACAGTACAATTTTATATTACCGGGCAAAACTGAGGCGCATGCACATTTTCGCTCATTGCGCTGGCCGGCGGGACATTGGCTATGGTAACATGATGCGGTGCGGCTTATAGGTCAAATCGAGTCAAAGAAATACGCTAATATTGTTTAAGATCCTAGTGAAAAGAGCCTGTTACTACTTACCCCTGTTACAACAAGCCCCTCGCTCCCCTAATCCCTCGAGGCTACTAGAATAGGTAGAAAAAAAAAGAGCAACATAGCAACTGATCGGCACTGCCACCATGAGCATGTTAACATACTGTTTATTTATTACCAGCTAACATAGGTAGGCGCTTTAGTCTTGAGCGTCTAGCGTCTCTGGTCCAGCGATATGTCTTCTGAGTCTAATCTGATAGGTCTTATCACTTTATTCTTTTTATTATTTCAATTCAGTAAATTCGCGCTTCATATCATCCCACACAACAGACCAGGGCGAGTACTTGTTTCTACCTCCGAAGCTTTTCTCCTGTTGCACTGAAATACAATGAATAACCATAAGTTACAAAATTGTCTGTTGGAATCCATTTATCGACGTCGATCAAATTATTTATCTAGAACATAGAACATAGATTATCTCGAACATTCTATAATTTCCCACCCCTATTACTCAGCTATTCAAAACACTTCGGGTATTCATTAAGGGAGCGCCGTATGCAGGCGCGCGGAAGAGCCGCCCCTTAGCGTAACGACCACCTAAAATATTTACAAGTCAAGTTTGTAAAAATTCTTAACGCTAAAAAATTCAGAAATTACATTTTATTTTAGCTTTAGAATGCTCACAAGAAGCAATTCTGATAAATAGTTGTATCTACCAAAGGAAGCTACCGCTACCACGAGCTGCGGATGCACGTAGGACTTATCAGCAAGCGGAAACATCTCTATATTTGACATTTGAACTTTAGCCTGCACTGGTTAGCTAATAATTGTGAAAATCGCAAGCAGACCGTTTCATTGTAGGACACTTGTCAGCAAGGAACAACAAGGGAAAAACGAACTTTGCGTCATGAGGAGATTGAGTTTAAGGAGATACGTATATTAATTGAGGGCCTGTTACCTTCATTTTGCGCAGTCCGACTCGCATCGAGCTGTCAACTGTGAGTCCTCCTAAACTGTTCATGCCACGCGCACTTAAAGCTTATCATACATAGCCTTTACGAAACATATAAATGTGATACGTAGTAGGTACGGTAATTGAATATCTTTTATCGACATCGTTAGTTGTTAAAACTTCTGTTTAATCCCAAAGGCAGCGGCAAGGCAATGTGACCCATGATTTATGGATTGTGCTATCCTGAGGGAATTCTTATGGAACTGGCGTGATTAATGTTCATTTGGAACCGAAATCTAGCCTCCCTATCTCATATATTATAACACAACAATATAATATTAATTATATAATATTTATAATATAATATTTATATTGAGCGACTAGAAAGAGTCCAAAAAAAGTTATTTAAGCATCTTTTATACCATTGTCGTCGCTTTAACTCTCCAGAACCGACAGAATTTGTCTCTCTAGTCGATCGTAGGCTACTGAGGGATCAAATGTTTTATATAAAATAATAAATAATGAGATTGATTCTAGCTATCTTCTTTCCAAAATTTCATTTAAATGTAGTCGTATTTCCATCGTCCACGGCTCGAACGAAATATGCTTCTAACTCTTTTGTCCGTAGATCTTGTAGTTTGTAGGTTGTATGATGCTAAGTTCTCTAATGCTGACATCTTTTGCTTGTCACTTGTAGCATATAGAAAAGCTATTTTAAATAATTTATAAGGTGATTTAGTCCGATGACTACTCATTACTACTTAGTGTTATAGTGTAAGTTAAGAGGCTTGTTGAGTTATTTTCGACTAAGAAAGTAATTTAGTCCAAGCCGCCAATATTAGGGGCGAGCCCTAAGTAATATTACCCGATCCTGTAGACCGAATGGTAAACAGTCGACGTCGCCCAAAGCACGTCATTACGGATCCTCCCGATCCATTAACGGTGCTTTTAGGCACCACAAGCACCGGTCACCGTCCTCGTCGAACACGTCGCTTGCGACCAAGGGCTTGATGAGCGAATTAACCCATAGACACAGCCATAGACACAGCCCACTGAGTTTCTCGCCGGATCTTCTCAGTGGGTCGCGTTTCCGATCCGGTGGTAGATTCTGCGAAGCACTGCTCTTGCTAGGGTCAGTGTTAGCAACACTCCGGTTTGAGCCCCGTGAGCTCACCTACACACGTTAGGGTAAAGCTTAAATAGCCTCTCAAGGCTATCAGCATAGGTAGGAAAAAAGAAAAAAAAAGTAACATTAGTGTTCAACCAAGAATTCTGTTGAAAAGCGTATATTTTTTTTAAGTAGATATAAAGTTAATTCACCCCTGTTCAGCACAGTAACGGGTATTCAACTATTGGAATAACAGAGAGCTTGGAGTGTTTTCCGTCAGGTAAGACGCGTCATGTCACACCGTGGAATGTAAAAATGTACGTACCTACTTTATGTCTAATTTTATTTTTGAAGTTAAAGAACATTCCGCACGAAATTTATTCATTCAATTTGTATCTTTTTAATTGGACAGTGTAACTTGAGATCATTAATTTCTTGCGACTTAAGCATTGTAGTCCTGGAATTTTCATTAAAATGGTACAAAAAACAAAACGCTATTATAAAATTCTGGTCAACCGCCAAATTATACAAAACAATTTGATCATGAATTTTTTGCTGGATGTATTCGCGAATTTGCGAATCAAATGCAATACATATTAACTTGAACCTAAGGCTTGTTTGGGCCACTCAAAGAAGAACTAGGAAGTCATACTTTGACGAGGACGAAGGTGTATAACGGTGCTTCCCAACGTAGGACACACGCCCCCACAAGGGGGCAATTTGGTAATTAAGAAGGGCAATTGCACTAAATGAATATGGATAATCTGTATTAAACTTATTTTCAATTGGAATTTCAGTTTTTTATTGTATGTTTTGAAATATTACTTACTGTATAACTTGATAACAATCTCATATTGATGTCTTCCTAAAGCCTATCATTTATGTTTCATAAGTGAACAAATCAACTTTTTAATGTAAAAAATTATGTATGGGGACATAAACAATTTTAGAAATGTTACACGGCACAAAAAAGGTTTGGAAACACTGGTGTAAAATGTGTAAGTTTGATTACAGACATAATCAGAACAACTTAACATACTTACTTCAAAAAACAACGTTAGAAACTTAATTCGATAATTAATCTGATTGAATACAAATAAGACCGAAATATAGTATAATATCTCTCATGATTAAACGACCGAGTGGCAGCGGCTTGGCTCTACCCCTGGCATTGCTAAAGTCCCATTCCCTATCCTGCGGACAGAATGGAAAGCAGTCGACGTCGCCCAAAACACGTCATCTCGGATCCTCCCGATCCAATAACGGTGCTTTTAGGTACTTCAAGCACCGGTCACCGTTCTCGTCGAACCCGTCGCTTGCGACGAAGGGCTCGACGAGTAAATTAACTCTCAGACACAGCCCACTAAGTTTCTCGCCGGATCTTCTCAGTGGGTCGCGTTTCCGATCCGGTGGTAGATTCTGCGAAGCACGGCTCTTGCTAAAACTATTTGCTTTTCAACAACTCACGGAACAACTCACCAAACCTCGAGTAATATAAAAACAACAAAATTGACTAACAAATATATTGTATAATATTTTGTTAGGTTTCTTAAGTCATATAAAATGTTAGTTATATGAAATTTATAAATGTATACAAGTATGTAACGTGAGTGACACTGTGTTTATTGCAAAAAAACAACATTTTCGATCCAATTTTAGAAAGTTTGATGATAAATAATCATAACCAATGATAAATAATTGAATTTTATTTAATTAAAATTATTCATAAGGACGCTTTAATTTTGAATACTATTTAATTGAACATGCTGTATAGTGACATCTAGCGGAGAACGAGAGGCAATTTTATTCCGACTGCGTTCTTCAAGTTGGTTCTTCAAGTTAGGCTAAAATACTTAAACTATTTTTTGATCAACAGATGGCATAAAATTAATTATTTTCTTTCCAATATTGAAGTAGGGGATAAAATTCGAAAATTATTGTAACAGTATTTATATTTAGTTTATTTTATCATTGTTTAAAATAAAATGGGTACTTTGAATCAGTCAACGACACAGGTAATTTGCACAGATTACAGATTAAATGTTAAAGGTTCATTCTCAATTCCATTCAAATTTCATTCGCCGTAGTTCACTCGTTTCAAATCGGTTAATCAATCAGTCAAGCGAATCAATTGTTGTCATTGGTCGTGTACGTGGTTCACCAAACAAATATTTTTATTTATTGTTTACTAAAATCTTACCGTTATTTAAAAAATAAAACGGATAGTTTTAACATCTCTGAAACTTTGCAAATTCCAATTATGTACAGTATGCTTTTTAATTGACCAACGCGAGTGTCCGAGTGCCCGCCGTGGGTGATCCAGGGTGTAATATTGTGAATGCATGTATAGGATTCCGTAACCAGTTCTTTTGGTTTTAATTTAAATGGACACAGTTTTTAGTAAAACATTGACAGTAACTTAGTGTCATATCAGCAGACGTCGATGGATTTTTAGAAGGTAAAATATTTAAAATCTAAAGCATGATTACGACTATTCATGGCTTTTAATTAAGTAGTTTTTGAAGCTCTGCATTCCGGCGCGTGCAAAGTCTGAACGGCGACGATGAAATTCATATGATTTGTTAAGTTTTTACGTGGGGCGTGATTACGGTTACTGTCGCTGTACAGAGTTCGTCGACATAGCTCAGCCCAATCGTTTGCCAATGCGTTTCTTATCAGTAGATTAACGCGAGGTTTTTCGTGAAAATCGCCACTGCTTACGTCCGTATCATATTTAAATCTATTGTTGAAATTACATTGCTTGTTCGGTATCAACTATCACCGTAGTTTTGTTATTTTTCTACTGCACTGCTCTAGTATTTCTAGTTTGTGACTTATATAAATTTTCACTTTTTAAACAACTCAAACCATGAAACAAAGACATGTCAAAATTCTTTCATAATTCACTAACTATGATAAACTACAAAACTAGTAATGAACTAAATACAAATCTAGTACTTTTACATCTGTTCTATCAATAAAAATAAATTCAATTTGAAACATATTTGTATATTACTATAGGGTGAGGTAAGTCTGCAAGTGTAGTGATCCAACCCATTTCCGCCATGAAGCAATATTTTTTTCTGCTATAAACATGATTTACATTCATTTCAGTTAGATATCAATAATACAATTCAGTTAAGTTTTCAATCTGAAATTTATTGTGCAATGTATAATTATTGTGATGTAAGCTCTAGTTCTCACTTATAACTAGCGGGGCTGAGTTCCATCAGAATCAATGCAGTAATTGATTTTATCATAATTTCGAATGCCATTTTAAAAACACAAATGCAGCCATGACAAAATGCTTAGTGCTTCTGGTTACTTAGTACTTGGTAAATTTAAATAATAAATAGAAAACAAACTATTTTACATACTTATTTTATGATTTATGTAGGTGTGTTGCTTACAGTATTTTCATTTTTCGCTTTATTGATGGCAGTTGCTTGAGCTTGGAGCGGCTGACAAGATGATGGTGGAAACCATCCTCGAGTCCTCGCAGGACTTTGGTAAGTCGTCAGCTTTTGTTAATGTTGTTTGCTGTTTTTGTAATTTACAATGTTATTTTTTTATGCAAATACTACCAAATGTGCATAAGCAATTTACATCAATACTTCACATTTACTTGTCTTAATGTCTAAGCACTCAATCTCTGATTAAAACTAGAGATTAATAAAATGGTAAATGAAAAAGCTGCATAAAACCTTTGTAATAAATGGATCCAATAATTTAAAATTATAATTTGCGTAATTACTGGTAGTAGTAGGACCTCTTGTGAGTCCGCACGGGTAGGTACCACCACCCTGCCTATTTCTGCAGTAATGCGTTTTGGTTTGAAGGATGGGGCAGCCGTTGTAACTATACTGTGACCTTAGAACTTATATCTCAAGATGGGTGGCGCATTTACGTTGTAGATGTCTATGGGCTCCAGTAACCACTTAACACCAGGTGGGCTGTGAGCTCGTCCAATCAACTAAGCAATAAAAAAAAATAAAAAAATTGTCTTTCTCTCTTAATACTGCTACAAAAGCCTAAATAATTCTCACAATCTATAAAAAATAATGGCACATTGATTTCATCAATAATGTCAATTGATTGGTAATGAATCATTTTTAATGCTGTTTTTAAGGAGTCTGTGCAATGAAAACACCTCAGATCACTTACAAGTGAACATTAGTATACTAAATACTATATATGTATAAAAGAGGACTTACCTTAAGTGCGCAACATCATTTCATCCTTAAAATACACTAATTTTTTATCCAAATGTGCCAAAAATGTCTTAAAAAGGTTCACAATAAAATATATAGTATACAGTAAAAAGTGCTTCTAGACCAAATTGTCAAAATATCAATAATACTGATTAATTCAGGTAATGCTTACCTCTAACAATAAATTCAAAATGAAAGCCTAGCTGTGGCCTGGTGTTACCAATGTCAAGGGGTAGCAGACTAATTACCATTAATTAGGCAACGTGCTTACCTGCCCACAGTTACCAAAAAACACTGTTCTGAATCTCATGTCAATGTCAAACAATACAAAATACAAAGGTAGCGGCATAATGTTTATCTACCAATAAGGAAAGTTGTCAATTTGACAGAACTATGCTAATTACTTTCTATTTACAGTAATTATTAGTGAAAAGATATATTGACAAAAGCCATAGATTCATAACTAAACAGATAAACACAATACAATTGTATTGCTTACATTAGACAAAGCGCTTAAAGAAACTGAGAGATATAGTACAAACATGACAGTATTTTATTCTATCATGATACTACATCTACATTGAACTATGGTGCACCATAAAATTCAGGTTTTTATTCTTTCGCATTGTGGTTATTAAACTAGTTAGAAGATTTTATTGAAATTTAAATAGAACAGTTGTGGTTCGATTTTCAAGTTTAATATCAATATGTTCTATTGTATAACTACTTACCATCAATGGGAGCCAATTACGAGTATACCACAATGTTATGTCATATTCTTATTAGTAAATTTATATATGAGCTTACGTAGCTCATCAAAAACAGATAATTAAATTGTAACTAATTTAAGTGCTTCAGTTTAACTCTTTTTTTTTTAAATATGACCACGGACTTCACATTTTCCATATTAAAATGCCTTCAGTTAATACTATCTTCTCTCTAATACGTCTCCATATTCTACCAGGCATGTCCAACGGATCGCTACCACAATGGAAGCGCGAGCTGCTGCAGCGTCGAGCCGCACGCTCTCGCGTAGTCGCTCCGCCTGCCGCGCCGCCTCCCCCGCCCCCTCCGCCTCCACCTCCCGCTGACGACGAAGACGAGGAACTGCGGTACGGGCCGGGCATCGTTAAGCGCCTCAAGTCCCGGTATCTCAGTCTCGCCCTACGAGATGCTCCCCGTCGTCGACCCTCGGTGTTGCGGCGCGCCACTTCCCTCGAGCATTTGCTGGACGAGCGGCCCCCGCCCACGCCCGCGCCTCGCCCCGTACCTTTGCACTGTAGACCTCCACGCCCCGTCTCCGTGGCGGCTCCTCCTGTGCATCGCCTACCGACCTCTCGCCGAGACTCTGTGAAACGCGCCCGCTCTGTAGATGCACTCAGCAGACTCGATCGTGACGAGCCTCCGCCGCCATCTCCGTCACCGCCGCCGCCGCCACTTTGCCCTCGTCCGACTACAAACCGCACCGCACGCCCCCCGCGCCGCCCCACACCCTTGCTCCGAGAAACCGAACGCCCTCCGCCTGATCTCGTTCGCTCGACCCTGCGAAAGTTCGAAAGCACCCCGACGCGGCGTATACAACCTGCAGTTAGGGTCTCGGCAGTGCTGAGGGGTCTCGAGACGCCGCCGCGAACTTCTACACCAGAACCGGCTCCTACAAAAGATCAACAGCACCCTAAGGAGATTCCGCCGCGCTCGCCGAGTCCGCCGCTACCAGTTCAAGAAGAACTTCTCGTTCCGGAAGAAACCGAATCCCACAATGAAGAAAAACCTCCAGGTGCACGACTGGTATCCCGCACTGCTCTCGAGGAGATCGCTCGGGCAGGCTCGAGCACCCGCTACTCGTTTGAAGCTCCGCGTGTTGGCTCGCACCTACCACCTCTAGCTGCCACCAACCCTGTTCTGGTCGGAAAAGCCCGACGCATCGGAGTCATCCGACCGATGCCCGCACTTTCTTTGAACGACGATAGAGTGACATCTCCGGCGCCGTCATCGGTCTCAGATGAGCCAGCTTCAAAAATAGAAGAGAGCCAAGTCGCGGCGACCCCACCGCCTCCAGAGAGCGAGCAGACTGTGCAACTTCGTCCCGACAAAAAAGAACCGCCCCCTTCAGCCATTGTAGAACCCATTCCTCGCGCGCTCCTCGAGCCGGCTCGCGTTCCTTCCCCGCGACCTCAATCCCCTATAACCTTGGAGCGATCCGAGATGGTGACATCGTCGCCGCTGATGAACGGACACTCTACCGGTGGACAGAAGCCACATAGTCCAGCATCGAAGATCGGTTCTGCGGGCATCGAGCGAGCGTGGAGCGGGTCCGCGGAGAGCGCCAGTCCGGCCGCCGGCGCGGGCCCGTGGGGAGCGCAGCGCAAGACGCGCGCGCCGCCGCCGTCCACTACGTCCGTCGTCTTCAACTTCTCCGACCGGAAAGAAGTACCTGATTACATTGAAAATGACGGTATCATCCTCCGCGGGAGCCGCAGAAACAGGATCAAGGTGAGTCCCTACAACACCGCTATAGCTAATTTGTTGAATTCGGTGAAATCTCAAATTTATTTTCCATGTCCATTTTGATGTAATTTATACAAATTAATTTAGCATCAGAAACGAGTTATGTCGGCCATTTTGATGTTATTTGTGAACACGCGCTTCCGTGCTTCAATGTTTCCGTCTGTTGATCTGCAAGATACGCTAGAAGCTTCTATGAGGACTGGTGTTGTTCTACCACCAAGTCAATCATTAGAATAAAACCTATCCGTTTTGTTATCAAAGACCATTCGTGCCAACGTAACAATGGAGTCGGCGGTGCATCCTAAACAAGCGTTGCGCAACTGTCGCAGGATCGACAGATTCTCGCGGAATCAGTAATTTCACATCTGACCGGTTTCCACCGACAGTGTCTCCGATATCTCACGGTTGATTTGTCGTGCTTGTTATGGACCATTGCTCCTCGCGCGCGCATCCATCAGATTGCTTTACAATTCACTAATTTCTTAAATAGATGAATATTTGTTTGAAGACAGCACTCTCGCAGTTTCTATTCCTGATCGGCTTGTCAATATATCATACCAATGTATGTAGCTTGGTCATTACTACGCATACCTCAGATATGCGATCCGCTGACACCTACAAATTTTATTATGAATCTATGACAGCAGACACCTAAACTATATCAACTAGAACAAGTACGTAATGGCTTGTTGACTTTGAGCATTCGAGAATGTATTTTACACTTTGACTATTGTTGTAAACGATTTCTGCCTGCCTGGAACATTTGGTCTATTATCCTAAAGACAACATGACGTAATTGGTGGGGAGTCTCTAGAGTATTGTATAACAGCTGCCATGCTTCATGGCGGAAGCGGCTACTCAACCCCTACCACCAGTACAAACTGAATACGTCTACAACGTATAGAGATCCTCTCAAACTGACAATCTATTGATGGAGAAGCACGCACAATGACCTGCTTGAGACCTGCGTGTTGAATCTAAATTGATTGTTTTCAAATTATTAGTTATAAAACGTGGTCGGCGCGTCCAACGGCGAGCAGCCGCGGGCCGCTAAACCACTTTCACCTTTTGTACAAAATAAAATTATATTTACATATTAAAGTTACACAACGCTTGAGTCGGGTTTTCTATTACGTCACCTAAAAATCTGCAATATTACACCATGCAATCAAATTTAGAAAGAAGAAAAATCCCTACACTCTGACGCAGCAAAAGGTCAAAAGCATTTCTACTACTAGGAATCATGGGCGACCTTACAACATTCAATAAGTAAACGTATTGACTTGAAATATATGCGTATTCATTCGTCTATTAGAACAAATTAACAAAATTTACAAAGATTAAGATTAATTTTAGATTAAAAAAGGTCTATACCAGTGCACTGAAAGAACGTCCAGTCGTCTATAGGGGGATTTTTCAAATAATTCGGTACAGCGTTATAATCTTCTTGTTACAAATTGAATGCTGGTGAAACTGCCGGACATACCTATTATCTAATTTAATAGATAACCCACGAAAGCAATTCAGCCTTGTACTTCCTTTTCCCATTTTACCTGAAGAAACAATCTCTACGAGTACATAGAAATAGTGCGGAATAAAAAATATAAGTGGAAGTAGCTTTTACTGCCTGAACTCGTGAATATTTTTTTACAATACGACGAATTTAAGCTCTATTCAATGTTTAGGGGTCAGCAATACCTGATATAACGTGTAGCCGCTCGTCCTGCGTCGATACGTCGTAACCAACGTACGTCCTCGTCGAACCCGTCGCTTGCGACGAAGGGCTCGACGAGCGAATTAACCCATAGACGCAGTCCACGCGTTTTGATTCGAGGTAACGCAACCGTTTAATTTTTTTTCTTTATTTTTTCCTACCTATGCTGACAGCCTTGAGAGGCTATTTCAGCTTCACCCTAACGTGTAGGTGAGCTCACGGCGCTCAAACCTGACAATGTTGCTAACACGAATCCTAGCATGAGCCGTGCTTCGCAGAGTCTACCACCGGATCGGAAACGCGACCCACTGACAAGATCCGGCAAGAAACTCAGTGGGCTGTGTCTGTGGGCAATGTCACCTGAACCAAGGAACCGAACAAAAAGCACACTTTGTATTTTTTTTTTTTTTTTTTTTTTTTT